CCTCCTTCAATCCTTGGGCCACGGGACCCGGCAGCCCGGAGGGCCCACCAGCAGCCGCCGCCGCCATCTTTCCTCCCTTCAGCGCGCCAGCCCCGCGGGCAGCCCCGCCACTGAACGACGGCTCCCGCGCGCGGCCAATCCGCACAGCCGCGCCTGCGCACGGGCGCGCCAAAGGGGGCGGGGAACAGGCCGGAGCCTCCCGAGACAGCGCCTCCTGCCGCGGAACCGGAGACTGCACCTTTCTCAGCAAGAATCCCGTCCGATTTGTGGTAACCGAGCCCCAGAGAGGTTAGGAAGCTTTCCCCAAATAGAACAGGAAGTTAGCAAACAAACTTGGAATAAAGTCAATGATATGTGACTTTTAAAGTCACAGATCTTTCAGGTATATGATACTGTACGTTGATTGGAGGTGAGATGGGAATGGATGTTGAGAGCGTTAAGGAGGTGTGGGTCAGAAATAGCTGTTTTAAACCAGCCTCTTTTCCCCCCCAAACACTGAAAAAAACGTTGGCTCAAGCGACTCTTTTCATCTCTTGCTCAGGAATTCAAGTATGGGGGAAAAAAAGAAACTGCAGCGGACTTGGCGGGGGTGGTCGCCTCCAAAAGGCCCAGTCCCTTGGTTTTCCAGCCTAGAGAAGCCCACCCTCAAAACTGTTAAGTGCTTGGCCAGGAGAGGGCACCAGCGCGCGTAAGGGCATTTCCTCCTAAGTTAAGTTCTTAGGTGACTATTTGAGAATGAATCCTGTTCGCTGAGAAAAAGTGACTTTTCTTCTTTCCCCACAGAAATTACGGCTGGACATTTAAGGGGTGTTAGAACAAGAGTAGTTTAATATGGCTCTCTCAGGGCTGGTTGTAGGAAATGGCTGGAGGAATAGAGATGCTTCTACACACTGAAACAAGTGGAGAGGATTATCAGAAGGCCCTAAAAATGCAGGGCAGGGTGGTGAGCCTGTAGTGGCTGAAGTGTTGTAATGGCATATGTTGTTAAGAGTGGGAGATTCTAGGGCCAAGGGGAACAGGTATTTCTTAATAAGCTGTTCAGTTTGAATGCCTTCAAATGGTTTCCAAGAACCTTACTTACCTCATTCCCAAGTGCCAAAGGAAAACCAGTCAGCAATTCCTAGCTCATCCTAAGACTGTGGATGCTAAAATTGCTAACAACCAGGAATTAAGTCACCCCATCTGAGGATTCATCCCAAAGAATGATTCCTTGATTTGAGCTCTGTACACCTCCCATGTTAGAGGGCAGAGGTGGGTTGTTACCACAGTTTCATAGGGGTAAGACTGCAGCTTGGACCCTGAAATTCCACAGTAGAGAATAGTAGGACTTACTTTCCTTCTTTCAGTGGCCAAAGCTGAATTCCAGTAGAACAGCTGCTTTCTCATAGGTTAACTCACTTTTACCCTAAGGAGAAAACTTAGGAAAGCCCAGAGTGCAGTTTGTTTTCAAACATTGTGGCAGTGGATGGAGGTCTTGAGAACCCCAACTTTTGGGCTGAATTTTTTGAGTTCTGGTGAACAATGCTATGTCCACCATGTGCAGGCAGGAAACCCCTTCTCCTCCAACATAAGGGGTCAAGGGACTTCTGCTTAGTATTTGAGGATCAGGCATTCTGGGGCGGTGGGTTTTACCTGTGGGTTAGGCAAATGACCACAAGCAATCTCACCTTCCAGATGAAGGAATGGGCCACAAGATAAATGGAGACAGAAACCAGACAGAGAGGGAGCTAGAGAGCGGCAGTGGACAGCACAGGAGATAACTTTATTGAAACATAAATGGCATCGAACAGATGAATCCTGCTGGGAGGAGATATGCCTGATGGGCAGAGGGCCCAGATGGAGGGGGCCTCTGGTGGTGATGAGGAAGGCCTCTTCAGGTGGCCCTGGCATGGATTCAATTTTCCACCAATTTATTATTTAAAACAAGTTACTGAGGGGACAGCCCAGCTCTCTTCATGATTGTTACCGCAACTATATACGGTGGTTTGCTCTTCACATTCGGGTTTGCTTTCTCTACATTAGCTATAAAAGGGGGTAGATTGAAAGAGGGAGTTAAAATGAGAAAAAAACAAACACACACACACACACATACATATCCTGGTTTGGGATTTGTGCCCAATAAATAAGAAAAGTGTTGCAAAAATTCCTGCCCACCTTCCACCTGAGGATCGCCATGCAGTTGAGAAACACAGACTCCATCACAGGGACAGTGCTGCCTAAAACAGGACGGGAGGTTTGGCGGGGAGAACAAGAATCTAGCAGGGGTTGGAAGTCATTAAAAAAAAAAAAGACTGCACTGTTAAAAAAAAACCCAGAGAATAACAACAAAAAACCCTAGGAAGTGGGAGGCTTCTGCACAGCAGTAGCCCAGACACTGGGATATGCAAACTCTTGCCTTCTTATCCAACATATTTGGTCTCAGAGAAATGGCAGGGAAGTGGGAAGAGCCCCCAGGAGATGGCCCAAGGAACCCCCATCAGGCTTCTGGGGATTGAGGGGTGACTGGAGTGTAACTGGTTTTTTACACTTGCCTTCCTCAGGCTTCAGTCCTTCCTCCACATGATCAGTTGATCCCAGAGCTCCTGAGGCCTAATACTGGCTGGTTTCTTTGTCCTCTACTCACAGCTCTTACAGGGAAAACCAGCAAACTGGAAGCAAAACCAGCTGTAAACAGCCTTCTCTCTCCCACGGCCCCATCAGCTAGAGTCAGGGACTTAGGAAAGATAAGCAGCTCCTTTCAGATTTCTTTCTCTAAAGGATTTGTATTCTGTTACCACAGCTGAGTACTCTCTATCACGTCCTGGTGCTGGGAGAGGAGAGGAGCCTGAGGCCGTCCTTCCCCAGCACCAGGGCACCGGCCTCTCCCTTGAGCTGAGCCCAGGGACGAGGGGCCTTCCCGGGACACTGCAGCCCCTGGCTGTCAGCTGCCTTGGGGGAAGGAGGTTCTGGCCAGGTTCTCAGACCCAGCAGTGCGCTTCTAACTCAAGTAAGAGAGGAATGTTGCTAGGAGAACAAGTTGTCATGGAAATACAAATTGGATTTTTTTACTTTTCTCGTCCTATTACATAATCAGAAAAAGGCTCAGAGTAGACATAAATAATCCGCCAGAAGAACAATCTGGAAGAGACCTCCACCTGCTTTCTTCTGTTGCAACCACCACTTAGTTTGTCAGGTAGAAACGTCAGTGCCATGAGCTTTTTCTCTGAAGGTTGTGTCCAAGGAGAAGGGATGCAAACACTCCCCTAACTTCCGCCCATAGGCACGCATACCTTTTCTTTTTGCGCTAAATAAAAGGAAAAACAGAAGCCTGAGAAAGGTGATTTTAAAATTAACACTTAAGTCTGAACTATACCCGAGGACCTTATTTTTGGTTCTAAAGCCCCTCAGTGTGGGGACTCTGACATGGCTTTCCCTTTACAAGTGAATTTCAAACTATCATGTGCATTAGAATTACCAAGGTAGTTCATTTTAACATGAACTGTGCAGCCCTCTCCCCAGTTTCTGATTCAGTACATCTGGGATGGGGTCTGAGAATTTCATTTTTAACAAGTTCCCAGATTCTGCTGGTCTGGAAACACGAGGGGAACCACTGCTTTAAGAAATTGAAGAACTGAATCAAGGAAGCAAAGATTTACTTCCTTCCATGACCACTCCTGTCACTGAAAATTCTCCATGGCATCATCATTAAGAAAAATAGCCAAAAGAACAAACTGGGAAGACCCAGCATGTATAGGTTTCATTTTCAACTCTACTGGTCTCTGCAGTTTCCAAATTTCTATTGGTGTCCTCACTTTGAGACTATACCAGCTTTCAGTTTATTTCCCACTTCCCCAGGGTCCATGGCTGGCAGCGCTGGCTTCCAGAGCTAGCTTGAGCACACATGGACCCTCAGGGGTGGGGAGAGCCAAGTGGCTAGCCCTAGATATCCCTGGCCAGGTTGACTGAGGCCTCATGGATATATATAGCTGATTTGGTTATAAAGGGCAGCATCTTCAGACTTGGCCTTCTGGAAACATAGCATCCCTAAGCTCATTATTATTACTTACGGCCTTTTCAATGGGACCATGAACCAGAACTCAGTAGTGGTTATTAATCATCGTAAGGGTGAACCGCATTTCACCCGCACACCTGTTAGTGAGCCCTCCCTTTTGTGCCATCAGAGGTGGTGGCTTACAGGAGCCTGGTTGGTAGCTTAAGCTCAGCTAAGCCCAGGAGTAAGGAATGAATGACAAAGTGTGGTGAGCAGTTACATTTGGCAATCCAGAAAACCCTGGACTTGAACACACCTGAAACCTGTCTTAAGGTGTGATCAGGACAACAGTATTTCCTCTCCCAAACACCTTGCAGTAAAAAATCCTTCAAGTCTCATGTAGGTCTTTTCTGATCGTGTCTTGTAGGACCAAGGCCCACTCAGCCAAATTTCCCCTAACATGCAGGGGAGTCTTCCCCTGTGACGATGGGAGGTGTCTGTGAGAAAGAGCAGGTTTCCACTGCCCTCTTCCTGCTTGCCGGGAATACACAGGAGCTACCTCTGATACTGAATAGGGTATCCCTCTGGATACTGGGACCCTTGTCAGGAAGCTAGAAGTGAAGCGAGGATGAGATCAGGTCCACTTGGAGTCTCGAAAACCAGAAGGCAAGCAATGACAGGAGAAGAAAAAGCACGCTTCCGTCTTTAAGTCCTTCAGGAGTACAGATAGATTCGTTAGAAAGTTGGTGATCAAGACCCAAACCCAGCATGCCAATCAATAAGGACTTCATTGTAGGGAGGGTCTCTCCATGGACTTTTAGCAAGTCCTTCTTCCCTGCCAGCCTCTGGCTCCCCAATGGTTAGACTACATGAAAAAGATGTTGGCATAAGGATTCACACAAAGACAGAGATAAGCACCACAGAGCCGTCACAAAGCATAGATCATTTAAAAATACTCCATGAAGCTTAGGAGATCACGAATAGCAAAACTGCTCTGGCAAGAGAGAAGAGAGAGACACACACACAGACATCAGGCCCCATATTAGCCTCCAATTACCTAGTGTTTTATTTTTAGTGCCTAGGTAGGGATTGAGAGACAAATACACGGGACGAACGCATTGGTCTTCTTTACCCAGAAATGAGAGGGATCTGCTGAAGAAGGTTTCCGGGAGTTGTGGCTCTCCCCAGAAGTTGATGTTAGGTATTGAAACGTGTCATCTGCTAGCCAACCTTGGTGAGGACTGGACTTGAAGGACCAGAAAGGAAGAGGATAGCACACATTCCAGTCTTAGATAGGCTGGATTCTTCTGAAGGTGTCTGGGGTTGCAAATTTTGCTCTGGGACCTGGTTTTCCTTTCTTGAAGGATCCCAGTGGTCTCGACTAAGAAGCAGGTGTCATAGGTAGAGAGAATGCTATGGATTTGATCTTGCCATTAATTCTAGGGCAGTCAGGGGAGCTCAGGTTTCCTGCGTTGGACAAGTCTGGGTGAGCGTCCCAAGGGGTTATAGCACCATGAGGAGGCTCAACCTTCTGCAGTTGCCACATCACTGTGATTCTGTGGTGAGAGGATGGATCCCTGCAGTGGGGTCCCAGGCGTGCAACTGTAAACAGGGTCCCCTGCTCCCGAGGGAAAGCTGAAGCTGCGGTACCACCTCGCTCGATGGGAACACACTTCCTGGAAGAAAGCAACTGGAAACCTGGGCTAAAATGCAGCAGTCAACTCAGAGCAGAGGGGGATGGATCCCAGGAACAGAGAGATGAAAGTCCTAACACAAGAGGCCTCCAGAACCAACCTGCTGAGGATCCAGGTGAATTCAGGGTGGTATCCATGGTTGCCAGGGACACAAGAATCCCTCTGGGGGTCTGAGGCAGATGGAATGGAGGAAAGGGTTCTCCCCTTTCCCTTTCCTCAAGTAGCCAGTAACATCCATGACAGAAGGCACTGGCCGGGCAGCACCAGAAAATAGAAAGTCAAGGGCTCAGCCACTTCATGAAGATGGCACTGAAGTCTGAGCCCTGCCACGGACTGGAGCTAAGGACAGGGTTCAGAAGAGGCCCATACGGTCGTCCCTTCCTTCCAATTAGAACACCCGGCTCTGGGGCCTCCTCATTCTGCACAGCAGAGACCTTAAGGCAGTGATTTCAGCACCATCCTAGGACAAACAGCCTCTTCCCACCACAGAGCTGCGTATTTTACAGCTGAGTTGGTCAGGCATCTTCATTGCACACGGACTTAGCAGCAATACCAATAACGGTCTCCAGCACAGAGGGCCCCGTCATCTCTGGGAGCTACTAGATGAATGCAGAAGCTGTCTTGGGGAACATTCTAGACCATCTTTTGGACCAAAATAAGAGAGATGAAGATTCAGATGCATCTAATTCTTCATTTGGTGGGACGCAGCGATCCAGGTTTGCATGCCTGTAGATTCTAAGATCCTGTGCTGCTCAGGAATCTGAAAGGCGACACTTGGACGCAGGCTCTTCGCACGGCCCTCATCTGCAGAGCCCTGAAACTCTGGCCTCATCAGGAAGCTCAGCCTCGATCTGATCCCACAGGGGTTTTCATAAATGGCGGGAGTAGACTTGCCCACTGGGTAAACAAAATGCCACCTGGGTAAACAAAAGGTTCCACCTTGATTGATCGCAGATCTTCTGCTGCCAATGTATTGGACATAATTAATCTTCTTTCTAGTTGGTTCCTTGGGTTTGGGCTACATTTCTTAGATTATCTTGAAGATCTAGATAATGGGATGTGCACTTCATGGAGGTTAACATTTCTACTAGATTGTCAACCTAAGGACCCAAGTCTTTTTTTTTTGACCTAGTGACTGGCACACAGGAGGTACTTAATAGGTACTTGCTGAATTAGTGTGTAGGTAGCCAGACCTTCACGGCAACTTCTGTAAAAGGAGGATCCCTTTGGAAGGCAGATCTTTGCTACCAAGTCGGATTCTTCGAGCCTTGTATTCTGACTGGGAGTATATCCCACATGGATGTCAATTCTCTGCTAAGTGACTATTCACTTTTCCAAAACACATAGTAAAGGTCAGCCAGGGATTCTGGATTCAGTCGGGCAAAGTGGCCACCATCAGAAGAATGAGGGGAAAGACAGGCCACAAGACAGAGGAATACTTCTGGCTTCCTAGTTCTCCTCCAGTCCACGGCGAAGCTCAGCGTAGATCTTGTATCAAGATGGGGCAATACGCTCTCATGACAGAGGCTGACAGCTGAGCTCCCAGGCAAAATGTGTGCTTTCTCAAAAGGGAAATAAAGGTTCCTCTTCTCTCACTACTTCCGAGCCAATGCTTCATGTCTCATATAGTAAGCCCCAGGATGCCAGAGACGGTGACATAAAAGGTGTCTAGCTGGTGCCAATTAGATGGCATCAGATTCTCCAAAGAAAACCCACTTGGAAAAATCAAACTAGCTCCTGGAACAGCAACCTGAGCATCTTGTGGACATGTGAGGAAATGCAAAAAAAAAAACCAAAACCAAAAAAAAAGGGAAAATAAATAGGCAAATGGGAGAAAAAAACCCAAAAATTAAAAATTAAAAAAGGAGGGTTTATTGACTTCATGCATGTTAAATTAGGAGGTGTAAGACAGAACTAGCAGTCTTTGAAGGCTGTAATGTTATTTTCGTGGTTTGGCGACTTCTTAGATTGGCAGCCGTCTTGTCGACGTTCCCTATGTCACCCGGGGTGGGCAGGGCTTCTCTCTACCTTCGCAACTGGTTCCCCTCTCTCCAGCTTCATCTTTTCCTTTTATTTTTCTTTTTACTTTTTATAGATCGATTTAAACATTTTTTAAACCACATGCTTCTTTTTCTGGGCTCCAGCCAGATCTCGGGGGGAAGAGCTGTTGGCAGTGGTGACAGAATTGGGCAGAGTCTGCAAGAGATTCCAGGGAGCTTCTGCCCCCCACAGATTTCCCCACAGAGCACTGTCTCTCAGAGTCCCTCAGGAGAACTGGTTAGGAACCGCTGCAGGTTTCTTTGATGTCTTCTGATCCCCTCCCCCGAAAGGCCAGGAGTCTGTAACTGAGACAAGAAATAAAGGAAAAAGACCCAGAACCATCTTTTCCCCAAAGTCGTGAGAGGAGGCCTAGAAGTGTATCCAGGGGACCCTAGTGTCCCCACTGCACGCCGCCAGTCCCCAAAGCTGCAGCACCAAGAGCCCACTCCTCCTCTCTCCCTGCTCCTCTCTCCTGGTCTCCTCTTGGGCCTCGAGCCAGTGCTCTTTAAGAGGAGAGGGGAGAGGAGGCACCGACGGAGCTGATACCCGCTGATGAGAGGGACTGCGGGACCCTCAGAGTGTTGCCTGGAGGTTGGGGTCCAGGATGGTTTCTCGATCTGGAGACTCAATATAATTGGCAGCTTCTTGAAGTTTCAGCAGCATGGCCATCTAAAGAGCGGCAAAAAGATGGGTTAATGAGAGTTGGGGCTCTGGGTCCTGCTCACAGGAAGGAGACATAAAAAATCCAGATCAAGGATCTGATCCTTGGTTTGTAAAGTGATAAGGAGCCCAGAGAGTTTAGAGGTGGTTCATGAACGAGCAGCGATGGCTGCTCCAACCCTGTCTGTGAACAGGTGCACAGGGAACAGAGTTGGCGGCGTCCTGGCCACACAAGGTGCCCTGCTGTGATGTGGGGCCGGGGGGGAAGGCTGACAGGAACAAGATGACCTCTGCCTTCAAGGTGCTTACGCTCCGGCAGAGGACTCAAGGCTGGTACCAGCAGCAGATACTAGCAGGAAGGTGAGGAGTGCTGTAAGACCATTTCTGTCCAACAATTCCTCCTTCTAGTAGATTATTTCCCAACAGCTACACTCCATGTTATTATGAACCTGTTTCCCCCCAGCTAATTGCCTCGAGCCAGGTGTATGCGCTCCAGGGGGCTCAACCCCTTCCTCTTTCTTTCTTCCCATGCTACTTCGGGACTGTGACCTCCAAGCCATCTAAGGAAGCCTGGCTGGTTCTCTAGTCAATCTGCCTTCCACCTTCCTGTTTACAGGATTCTTAACAGTCTTCCAAGCTAAAAGTATTTTTTACAGATGTTTTCAACAAAGTCAAAAATTCACTAAAAATGTATTATGACTACAGTGGAAGGATTTCCTGCTTGAAAGGCAAAACCACAGGGTCACAGTATTAAAACGTTACATTTTAAAGTATTAAAAGTATAAAAAAAGTATTTAAAGTAGTAAAATATTTAAAGTTTAAGTATTAAAATGTTCAGTATCAAAACTTTAACTTTCAGTACGGACTACGGCTGCCAAATTATCCTCCGGAATGGTTTCCCTAACGAGCGCTCTCACAGCGGAGTGTGAAGGTCACTGCTCCCACACACACTATTTCTGCCAATGAAACGGTCATCTTGGTTCAGTTGGATATATATTTCCTCGTTATTAAAGACGTTAAGGATGTTTTTACATTTTTATTGGCCATTTTCGTTGTCTCTAGGCAAATGCCTGTTTATATCCTTTGTCCGTACTTCTATTTGGAAGTTCTTTGGTAAGTTTTATATATTCCAGGTATCAATCCTCTTTTGGTTTCGAGAATTCCAAGTATTTCCCCTCGTTGGTCACTCGTCCCAGCCTGCTTCTACAAGGGCTCACATGAAAGCCACCAGCTGAAGCTCAGGAAACTCTCAGAGAGCAGAGGTGGAAGGACAGAGAGGTGCTAACGGGTCCTAGCGCTCTGCTTTCCGGTAGCTCTCCTACCCGGGACCTGCGTGGGGCTCAGGACTTTTCCAGAACACCCCTGCTTGCATGCGTTATCATTTAGCTTGAGCTAGGCCGCAGGTATCTGATCTAACCCAGGATGCTGAGAGTCACCTGCTCCCTGGCCTCAGCCTAGTCCCAGCCTTGTCCTTCAGTCACAGGCCCCTACCAGGGTAAGCACGAAGGGCCCTAGGCCTAGGATGCTCTTACTGTTACCTTAGAGTGGCTTCTACTCACCAGAGGGTCTGAATCCAGGGAAATCGGGGTACTGTCTTTGACTGTCCTGTCCTCAGGAGGTGAGGCCATGCTGTGAGGGCCCACGGTGGGTGGGGGCAGGTGGTACAGCTTTGACTGGTCTTGCTGGGCTGATGGCCAGGGGAGAGTGTCCCGGACCCACTCCACTGGGTCCTCCCAAGCGGCTTTCTGTCCATGGACCTGGAGAGAAGGAGAAAGTGGTTACTGGCAGGGCACCCACACTCCAGAGGGTTGTTCACACCGTCTCCTGACGGCGACAGGTACTTCCTCAAATGCAAAGCCTGTAGGCTCTGGTGCCCTTGGAATTTTCTTTGAGTTGCCCAAAGAGGGAAGTAAGTTGGAGTATATTGGTAAAACCACTTTGGGGATAAATACGGCAGATGGTGTTAAGACTTAACATGTATACATCTCATGACTCCATAATTTTACTTTTCAGGTAGGAAATCCTTCCATTTTAGTAAAAAATACCTTTAAAAATATTTCTGTCTTTGTTGAAAACAGATGTTATCTGTGTAAATGCTTTTAAATTGGCAAACTATAAATAATAATGCAAAATTAAATGAAATCATAATTTCTGGTATTGGTCTGATAGATAGTATTTCTAGAAATTTCCCCTATCATCAGTGGCTATCTATTGCAGTAACAAATTGCTTCTATGGATGACACATGACCAATAGGGTCCAGTCATTGCATCATAGCTGATTAGTAGTGGAAGGAACTTTAGTGATCATGATGCCCTAAATTACAGGTGAGAAAACTGAGGATGTTTTAAAAAAATGACATCTTCCTTTTGCACAAAGTTCTTAGTCTAACTTTTAAAAATCATTTCACATATTTAATTTGTCTTAAAATCAACCCAGTGATTTAGGCAGAACAGAACTTATTTCCTTTTTTACATGTGAGGATATTAAAGGGGTTAAGTAACTTGGCTAAAGTAACATTTTTATTAGTAGTTGGATAATGAGCTAAAGCTATGATAAGGTTTTACTTAATTCTTAGTGTATTTCTCTATCTGCTGAGTTTGACATTGAGCCAGAAAGCCCAGGACTGGAGACATGGCCCCAGAGGCAGTGGCCCCTTAGCCATTTGCTGAAGGCTGGCTGTGGACAGGAAAGCAGCTTAGTACATCCCAAGCCTGACTCTGTTAGGAAGAGAACCTGATTAATCCCAGTAGCCTGTGTCTAACACTGAAGACATGCTCCTGTTCTGTTAGGTGGACGGCCTGACCTTGCAGACTGATTAGTCAGAGGGTAGGGCTCACCTTGATCCCATCCTTGGCTCCTTCCTGTAGGTAGGGAATGATAGAGTTGTTCCACAGGTCAATGAACCAGGTTCTGAAGTCCTCTATGCCAATGGGGCAGGACAGAAAGAAGCAAGGGCCTAGGGGAGAGGGCAAGGCCATTAAGATGGCTGAGAACCCAGCTTTCCCCGACCGTCTGCCTCTTTTACCCCGATACCAGGCAGAGGGGTCTGATAACAAAAGGGACTAAAATAAATTTAGGGCTGGGCTACACTGAGATGTCCTCACGACCAGTGGGAGCTAACTGGCAATGTCTGAAGTAATGCTTCGCAGGGTGAGAGTGAGGGAGTGAGGGGAAGCTTTCAAATGCCCTCCCAGATACCTTCCCTTTTTCCTATGACCTGTGGGGTAACGTGAGAGCATGGGGTTAGCCTTCTGATGGCTCAAGTGATTCACCCAAATCATGGTGCTGACTGCATGGGGATGCTTGTTCCATGATTGAGTGGTTCTAAGTCACAAGGTTTTTAACTCCTTTACATGCTGCAAACTCCAGAAAGAAAGGGCAGCACCCCTCCAGGCGGCAAAGTAGGAAAGGGAAGCCACCTCTTGACCCAAAGGGGAAGCTGAACCCCAGTACCGATGAGGAAGTCTGAGGTGCTGTGCTTCTCAAGGAAGGTGTGGAGATGGTACCACAGCTTGGGCACCCAGTCAAGCACCCGAAGCAGCTCTTCCTTGTTGGCATTGATGTCGCTGTCTGACTCCACCAGCTTCCTCCTCAGGTAACGAACCAGGAAGCCATTGGCCGGTTCCACATTGTTGGAGAAGGTCAACATCCTGCCTCCAGGGATGGCGAGATGGGGTCACAGCGGCAATGGGGACATCATCAGGGCTCCCCCCAGCCAGTCCGTCCCTCCTCCTGCCTGCCTCCCACTAACGCCTGCTTAGTGTCTTCTCAAGTAATAGCAGGGTCGATCGACCAGGCCCAGGGAGGCAGCTCGGGGCAGGCAGAGCTGATTCTCTAATCAGGGACCCTCTGCAGATGACCATCTGATCTCACTGACCCAGAGGAGGGTGTGAGTGGGCAGAGAACCTGAATCACAGCAACCTAGCTGCATCTCTTGAAGTTTTACAGCCTTTCCTCACCTCGATGGTCTTCCTCCCAGCCCAGAAGGCTCTGGCTACTTCTCTCTCCGCCTCCTGTCTACTGACCCTCTGGGCAGATCCTGGGACTTAACTAGTCTGTAGGCTCTTAGGTAGGGTTGGAAGGTTCAGCCATAGTTCTTACCTGAAGCTCAAGTGCAAGCCATGATTGGGCGTCATTTTTACAGGCTGATTGGTGGTACCTATAATATAGGGACTATGGGGAAAAAGAGGAAAAAGATTTACTTAGATTTGTCTTAACACTTGCTTTCTGCTCTGTGCACCCAGTGGAAAGCTCATAGGTTGGACTGGCCTGGGGTCTCCTCTTCCCACCGTGATGTGCTGGGTGCCGAGTCCAGCTTACCACTTGTGATACTTGCAGGTGAGGGCCCCGTTGACCAGCTCGCTGATGGAGCCTGCCTCACTCAGGTCATCCAGTAAGACCACCAGAGGGACGTCCCCAATCCCTGTTTCCCGGTCTATCTGGTTGGCCAGGTTGGAGAGATACAGTTGTAGATCCTGAAATAAAAGAAGGCAGTGGGTCAGCACTCAGGAACAGCGAGCACCTGGACCAGCCTCGGACAGCAGGGTTTTGGAGAAGCTGTGCTACTTCTGGGCTACCTGGGAGCCTTGGGCTCCAGTCTGAAGCACACAGACATTTGACTGTAGAACCTGACTACCACAGATACATGGTGGTCCCCCCAAGGCTCTAAGGCAACCCTCGTAAACAGTGGTCCCTACATCTCCCACGGGCGGGGAACACATGCGATTTCCTAAGGGGATTTTCACTGGGCATGGCACGGTATGTAACATGTCCTCTGAGTGCTTCTCCCCAGAAAGCCCCAAGCCTGAGAGTAACGCTACAGAGAAAGGTGGAGGGGAGAACATGAGAGAGCAGGATGGCACGGACGGGTAGGCAGGGAGGGAGGTGGGAAAGGGGAGGGTGTGGCTGAGCCAGCGAGCACCTGAAGGGAGAGTGTGGAGATCCGAGAAAGAGAAAAGTCTGGAAAGAAAGTGGAGGCAGGGGCGGGGCCAGAAAGGGGAAGCGGTAGGGAGGGAAGAAGACACCGAACAGGGGAGGCAGGTCAACAGAGGTGAGCAGAGGGGAAAGGAGATGACAGGGTGGGCAGGGCCGGGGAAAGGTCTGGGGCAAGCTGAGGCCTGGATGAAGGCTGATAGGGTCTCAGGGGGCAGCCACCTTGCAAGACTGCTGGTGCATGTTGAAGGTGCTGACGATGCCCTCGGTGACCTCGCGGCCAGAGCGCTCCACCAGGTACTCGGCCAGCCGGTTGGTCAGGTAGGTCTTGCCGGTGCCGCTGGGGCCCGAGAGCACGAGGCGCCGGTGCTTGAGCAGCAGGCTGATGTAGTGCTGCATCATCGGCTTGGGGATCAGCGTCTCAAACACCAGGCTGTCGACGCACTTCTCCTTCAGACCTGAACCCCCAGCCCAGAAAGCGGGAGTCTTGACCAGGGCCCTGAGGATGGCAAGGGACCCCGACGGGCAATCCTGTCTTCATCTGGGAGCCCGATGACAGAACTCAGAGCTACTTGCCCCACGGGCCCACAGCACCCCCAACCCCTGGTTTTAAAAGCCTACATCTTATTTTTAGGGACACAGGTCCATGGGTGGAGTGAGAAGTCCATCCGGCAGAAATGTCCCCGGAAGCCAAGTTAGGCCGGGGTCTCACTCATCTTTTTACAGCTCACATCATTTAAACACAGCGGCCTTCAAGGCGTGCCTTCTCAAGAAATCCTTGTTGAATGAATGCACAAGGTTCTCTGAGGAGCCTCTCCCTCCCTCACCCCCTAGCATGGCACCCCAAGGGACAGAGGCTGACCTTTAAGGGAGACTGATATGTTATTGACACCTCGACGGCACGGAGGCATCTCTGGGGGCTCCACGTCCAACACTCGCTTCACGTGGCTGACGCTGTAGCCGTGGACGGACTCCATGCTGAGGCCCAGGGTTGAGGCTGGGTCCATCTTGGAGACATAGTCCTGACAGAAGGGAAGGGGAATGAGCAAGGAGGGTGAGGCCCGCTGAGGAACAACGACAGAGGCAGAAGCCGCAGGCAGGACAAAACGCAGGGCACAGAGCAGATCTCCACCCACTAAGGGAGGGGCCCGCGCTTCCCGCTCAGCCCTTCTCCGTAAGGCATCAAGGTCCCCAAGACCCAATGCACAGACGGCTCAACATCTCATGAGAGGATGAGGAACCTTTGTGAGTACGTGTAGCCCTTTACCTTGAACACTTGGAAAACAGCTTCATCCAGGGTCTTCCAGTCGACTTTTCCACTGACCTTGCTGCATCCCAGGAAGAACTCCTGCTGCTTCAGGTCCTGTAAGGCCAGGGCAGAGGATGTGAGCCTCAGGGCAGAGGGGTCCAAGGCAGACAGACCCCGGATGGCCCGAGGAGTGGGGTCCTCTGGCCTGGCGGTTATGCAGAGCTCAGATTTTCTTGGGTGAGCATGAATGTCCCCAGCCGTCCCTGAGGTTCCTTACCCCTTTGATGATGTGCTGGGGGGGCATCCTCACCACCACCCGCAGGGTCGCTTCCTCCTTTGGGCCACCGCTGCTGACGCCATCCATGGGGGACAGGTCTGCAGGAGCGGAAAGGACTATTGGTTTTACAGGCACCCACAGGCTTTCCTGAACATTCCAGTTGCCATCTTTGCCAAATACTTTCCTTGACCACACAGAAGAAACAGAAGCCCCAGACTGAAAAGTAATTAAGGGGAAAGGACCGTAACAACTCTTTGTGTCTCCTGATACTGGCACCTGCTTGGTTCGGGCACTGCTGCCCCTCCCAATCCAGGGAAGGGGCCACCAGAGCAGGCGGCATGGCATTCATGGTGACCCGAGCCCTTTTCTTTATGCCACCCTTACAGGTTCTTCTCCCAGACAGGTACCTGTGTCTGCGAGGCTTGGGCTGAAGGAATGAGTGAGCGCAAGGCCCAGGGAGCGGCGAGGGGATGACAAAGTGGACGGTGCAGGGACCTGCCCTGGAGCGGATCCCAATGAGGGGCCTGGGGCCACCTTCAGCCGGTCATTCTCTGCTTTCAGCAAGTCCACCTCCAACTGTGGCAAGAACAGACAGGGCCAGGTAGCAGGGCTGGACAGCTCTCCAGCCCTGGCCTTCCCCTTCCTGCCGCCCTCTGCCCAGACACTGACCTGCATGTTATGCATGGTTTCGCGAAGCTGGTCCAGTTGGTGGGCAGAGTTGAGGGCTTCCAAGCGGATGTCTGTAAGCTTCATCTCTTTCTCCCACAGCTCGGAACGCAGCTCTGATACCTCCTTCTTCTCCGGCTCCTCCTCCTCACTGGCATGGAACAGCCTGGCGTGGGGACCCGAGTGGGCAGGGCCCCTGTAAGGAAGTGAGAGTGAAGCCAGGCTGCATGGGGCTCTAGAGGCACGGCGGGGAGATCAAGGCCCATGGGTGGCAATGTTGGTTTCTCCTGCCTCCAGACCCTCACTTGGCAGAGAGAGGAGGGCTCCGTCTGTTGGCCCCGTGTGCCCAGGGAGAGGTGGGGCAGGGTACTGTTTGAGGCTTGCTGCCGCCTCTGGCCAGCAGTGTGTGTGTGCACCAGGCGGGGTGGCGGGCAGTTAGGACAGCACTTACTCCGTGGCCTCCATGCCCACGGAGGACGAGGTGGAGGACTTGATGGAGGGTGAAGCCGTCTCGGTGGGGCCATGCTGTAGTTTGGGGGACGAGGGGGCCGAGGAGTCGGGTGTGGCAATCTCCTCAATATCAGAATATGAGGAAGCGGACTTGGGTCCCTTTTTTATACTGAAGGCTTTGTTGAAGGAACTTCGAAGCTAGAAAAAAGCAGATCCAGGTAGAGAGATGTCAGGGCTCCACTCTGGAGAGGGGACGACTAGGTTGAGACTTCTGAGACAGACAGTGGCAGGGGCAGAGTCATCTGCCTGCCGCGATCAAGCCTCCCTCCTTAAGGCTCTATGTGACTCATGTAACATGGACAGAAGAGTCTCCTAGAAATCAGGGCTCAGACAAAGTGGGATACTCTGGCTTGCTGCTGTGGCCGGTTGTGGGAACTTCTTGGGTCTTCCGGCTCCCATGGGAACCTGTGCTGCTGATGAGAGGGACAGAGGGAGCCCCCAGAGGTCACAGGGCGGACCTTCTCCAGCCAACCAGTGACTGCTCCGTCTGCAGCCTAGCTCACTCTGGGCCTCGGGCCCCACCTCTGCCCTGGGCTCCTCTGCTCACCAAAACTGACCATATGATTCTTTGGAAATCAGAAGAGAGTGGCTTCAAGTTCCTTTCAGGGTCTCTTGTGCTCAGGCACATCACAGAATGATTACAACAACCAGATACAGGGTTTCTTACTATTTCTACCCAACTGTCCTAGACTGAGGGATAGTTCCCAGCATTTCTTCAGAACACCTGGGATCTTACAACCTGACCAGAGCTTGTTTGATTTCAGGTGTTGATGAGCTTGGGTGTCAGGGATGTGAGCTAGAAATGCAAACCAGGGTCCTGTCCCACACCCCTTCCCATGCATCCTTACAGCATGCACACACGCACAGGGACACAGATATGGAACGGCAGCAAGAGACAGAGAGTAAAGGAGGGGTCGAAGGCTATTGGGCACAAAGGCAAACCAGATCTTGGGGACAGTGAGAAAAGATGGGCAAACTGGAGGGTGCTCTTTCTAAGAGTCTCTCCCGGAACGCGGGCGGCTGGCAGGTGATGGCTGGAGCTCATGACTGCTGTGCTCTGGGGTCTCCACTAGGTAGGACTGAAGGAGGACCAGCCCGGCTGCCGTGGGGCTCTGAGGGAGAGCGTGTGTGTCCACGAGCTGGAGTGTGCGTGCAGACCTACCGCCAGTGAGGAGTCAACATTCAAAACTGCCGTAAGGCTCAGTTCTCTGGAAAGATGAAGACTTGAGGCTCAAAAGGCCACAGTGTTGACTTGCTTGAGACGAGGAGATTGAAGACCTGGGGCAAGAACTTAGGCTTCCTGATTTGCAATCTGATGAGGTCCTCTCTACACTACTGCCTCACGGGAGCCACACGTGTGTGCTTGCATGAGTGTGCGTGCGCAGAAAAGAGATCCTGTGGCCACAGTCTGCTGGTGCATGCACCCGCTAAGGCCACTCAGATCCCTGAGTGAGGGCAGCGCTCTGGGTGTAGTGCAGGTTTCCCAAAGTACAACAGCTGGGAGTGCTGACTGGTGTTCTGAGGGGAGGGAGTCTGTGCTCATATGAGTTCAGAAAACAATGCATCAAACAACCTGAACCAGGACTCTGCACCGAGGGACACCTCAGAACATCTATGCTGATGTGCACTGTAGAAAATGCAATACTCAGATTTGATGCTGGCATCTCTTTTTAAGGAGCACCTCAATGGACCAGTGTGGGACACACTTCAGGAAATGCTAACTTAAAGGAATCTAATTATCCTGGCATTTCAGGCTTCCCCCTACTCAGCCAGGCCTCTAGCTGGACTGATTCCTTCCCTGCCCCCTTTGACCAGGCAGCATCTGTGTAGAAATCACTCCAACACACTCTCTGTACCTGTTCAATCCCTCCCCAGTTTAGCCTTTACCTCCTTTGTGGTGTTTCCCTGCTGCATGCACCCGGTGTCTCTCATCAGTGAGTTCCTCTAGCAGTCACGGAGCCCAGTGTCTGGACTGTTACCAGTATTACAAGCACAATGTGTTTTTGTCTCCCAGACACCCTGCAGGCCCCTTTATGGCTGAGATAATAGACTCCCTTTTCCATAGCCTTCATGACACCTCAAGCCAGGCTGGGACCGGGTCAGTGGACCTCAGCTGTCTGGTCTGTGAACAGAAACTCCAGGTTCACCTTTCTGTTTGTCTTAGACTCTCATCCCTGAAACGTCTTTGGCAACTCCGCAGACGCTCAGAGGGCGTCAGTTGCTAGGGTGACGTGAGGCCCTGGATGGGACCGTGTCCCTCACCTGTCTGTGGTCCATCCCACTCAAGAGCTACATGTGCACATGGGGCCCAAACCAAACTGGCTTCTGGAAATCAGAGTGACTCCCTTCCATTTCGGGCTCCTTGGGTCTGATGCAACAAAAAAATGAGACAGCGCACTTTCTGGAGAGGAGGAGCTCGATTTGGCTGCTTTCATAACAGGCCAATTTTGTAACAAGGGGAAGACAGGAGGGAACAGATAAGGATTTTGCTTGGTAAGGCCCCCAACCAGACCACTCCTCTGTCCTCGTGTGGGGGCAGCCATGAATGGACCATGCAGTGGAGTGAATCAGGAACTCCGGGGTGGCTGTTACAGTTAGTTTTATGAGTGGGCGTTTTTTTTAGGGGGAGAAGTTGCTCTGGAAATGGGGAAGGTATGGCAAAGGGAAAGAGAAAACACAGGGAGAGGAACTGGGTCTCTTACCTCATAGACCTGGAAAAAAATAGGGATTTGAAGTCAGCATTTTGAAGGGGGGGAGAAAAAAAGAATCAACACTTAATCACTCATTTCACACAGCTGGCACCCGTCTGCCTACACAAAGGGCCAGTCTTACTGCACAGGGGGCAGAGAAGCCAGGAGTCTCCGTGTGGGGACCCTGCTCTTCTCGCAGGCGGCAGAGGAGCTCAGAGTGCGGGAGATCTGCCTAAACCATTTCAGGAAGGCCAATCAACGGCAGTTTAGGATTATCTGGGAGAAAAAATCCACAACTCTTTGGACCAGTCAAAGGTAATGCATTAAGGTTCCTTTTGAAGTAATTTGTAAATTTCCAAAAACCTCTCTCCAAAAAATGGAACAAATGACCTCCGGAAGCATCCAGAACGAATAGCTTTGTTCATAAAATCTTTTCATAGTATAGAAGGGACGGGGGAGGGCACAGATCAAGCATTTCCCTCTGTTGCCAATATATTTGACCGCATCCAACATAGGAGAGCCCAAAGAAAGCATGTGTATTCAGGCTGCGGGACAAATGGAAGACTGTGGGAAAAGAAGTTCAGCAGACCCTGCTCTGAGCAGGCATCAGCCCACACTCAGCATTAGAAGGGACTGTCTCTTGGTTCACTCTAGGGGGGGTCTGGCCCCTATGCCAAGGCGGAGGGGGTCCACCATGGTCCTCAGAGCTCCCGGCCCCAAAGCCTGTACCTGTCTCTTGGTTCACTCTAGGGGGGGTCTGGCCCCTATGCCAAGGCGGAGGGGGTCCACCATGGTCCTCAGAGCTCCCGGCCCCAAAGCCTGTACCTGTCTCTTGGTTCACTCTAGGGGGGGTCTGGCCCCTATGCCAAGGCGGAGGGGGTCCACCATGGTCCTCAGAGCTCCCGGCCCCAAAGCCTGTACCTACCCAGCTCTTCTTCTTCTTCTTTTTTGCATCAGCATCCTTGCCGCTACCAACGCTGGAGTGGCTGGTGATGCTATTGAGGCTCGAGATGCTATCTGAGGAGTTCTGTCTCTTGATCCGAAGTTCTGGGGGCAAGTGCAAGCGGGAAGAACACAGACAAGTAGACTTAAAGGAGACATGAGACTTGAGGCGAGGCCAGCTGCAGAAGGTAGAGGAGATCGGACCCTACCAACCCCTAGGTCCGCATTATTCATTTTGTGGATCATTCTTTCAACAAACATGCATTGCATGCTCATCGCGTTTCAACATAAAAAAATGCAAAAGGTAAAAAGTAAGTAAGAAATTATCTTTGTCCTCAAGAAGCTTGCAGTCAAGGAGAAACAGCAGTGCACAGACGCATGAGTTCAGCTTGAACAGGCCTAAGAGGGACATAATTAAAGCGCACCCTCTACAGGGTTGTGGAGATGTCACCTACCACTTTTCATGGCTTTCTCCAGCAATACTTGGTTACTTTATTATAGCTGCAATCCCTCTCTTCCTCCACATAACAGACGTGCACACATACATATACACACAAACAGATTTTCTTCAACAGTTTGAAGACAAGTTGCCAACAACACGACACTTTACCACTGATTGTTTCTAAGAATAAGGACATTATTCCACAATGTTATCACACCCAAGAAATGAACAGTAATTCTCTTAATTTAAAATCTAGTCCATATTCAGATTGGAATGATTTTTGGTCTTAACTGACATGACTGGGTTACTCTGGGGACAGAATGAAGGAGGGACTGAGTAACACAAGACTAGTTAGGAAATGACCGTCATGATGCAGAATGACAAAAGCCTGAGCCAGGGCAGTGACAAGACGGAGGAGTGACAGCACTGAGATCTATACAGATATATAGCTGTACACAGGGGTCTTACCTATAACTGACTGACCACATAAGGTGGAACAGTGCGACAGAAAGGATGACTCTCATATTAGTGGTGTGGGTCACCAGGCAGATAATGGCTGCATTGGGCAAAACTACAGAAAGGAAAGGGTTGGCATGTATATTTTTAAGGGAGGTGGAGGTGCCTTTTAACATTGGACATGCTGAGTTAGAGGCCTGTATTATGTAATCTAAGTGGAAGTGTCCAAAAGTATTTGGAGAGAGGGGAATAGAATTCAGGAGACTGATACAGATTAAGAAGACAGAGATACAGACTAAGAAGTTGTAAAAGCTATCAAGTTAAATAAATGAACTCAGTTAAATGAAAGAAAAAGGTAGCTGGATACAAGTTCAATGTACAAAAAAATCAATTGTGCATCTACACACTAGTAATGAATCATCTGAGAAGAAAAATAAGAAAACAAATCCATTTATAATAGTGCCAAGATATAAATTCAACAAAAGAAATGCAAGACATATATATCTGCATATATGGTAAAACCCCACTGAAAGAAATTAAAGAATAAAGAAACAGAAAGGCATGCTGTGTTCACGGAGGACTTCATGTTGTTAAGTTGGCAATACTTTCCAAATTCATATACAGAGTCAACACAATCTCTATCAAAATCCCAGCTGGCTTAATCAGCAGAGATCGACAAACTGATTTTAAAATTCACATGGAAATACAAAGGGCACATAGTAAGCAAACTTTCTTGAAGAAGAACAAAGTTGGAGGACTCGCACTTCTGATTTCAAAACTCACTACAAAGTTATAGTAATCAAGACAGGGTAACATTGGCTAAGGACAAACATATAGAATAATGGAATACAATTGAGAGCCCAGAAATAAACCCATACATTTATAGTTAACTGATTTCCTATAAGGGTGCCAAGCTCATGTAAGGGGGAGAAATAGTCTTTTCAACAAAGGGTGCTAGGACAACTGTATAGCTACTTCAAAAGAATGAAGTTGGAGCCCTACCTCACACCACCTATGAAAATTAACTCAAAATGGACCAATGATCTATAGGGAAGAGCTAAAACTATAAAGCCATTTGAAGATAACATAGAAGTAAATCTTCATGACCTTGGATCAGGCAATAGTTTTTCACATACAATACCTACAGCACCAAAAACACAAAGAAAAAAATAGATGCATTGTACTTCATCAAAATGGAAAGCTTTTCTTTCAAAGGACAGTATCAGGAAAGTGAAAACAACCCATGGAATTTGCAAACCATGTATCTGATAAGAATCTAGCATTCAGAATATATTAAAAGCTCTTGAAACTCAACAATAAAAAGACAACTTGATTAAAAAGTAGGCCAAGGACTTGAATAGACACTTCTCCATGAACATATACAAATGGCCAAGGAGCACATGTAAAGATGTTCAATGTATGCTAAGCCATCAAGGAAATTCAAATCAAAATCACAGTAAGATATCACTTTATACCCACTAGGATGCCTGTAACAAAAAATTAGTACAATAACAGGTGTTGGCAAAGATGTGGCGAGATTGGAAGCCTCACACATTGTTGGTAGGAATGTAAAATGGTGTAGCTACTTTGAAAAACAGTTTGGCAGTTCCTCAAAAAGTTAAGCATAGAATTACCATATGACCTAAGTATTCCACTCCTAGGTATATGCCCAAGAGAACTAAAAACATACGTTCACACAAAAACTTGTACATTAATGTTCATAGCAGCATTATTCATAATAGGCAAAATGTGAAAACAACCCAATGTCCATCGGCTGACTAACCGATAAACAACATGGTATATCCATAGAACGAAATATTATTCAGCCATAAAAAGGAATGAGGTACCGATACAGGATACAGCATAGA